CCTCCCCGCCTCTGTCCTCCTCCGGGGAGACCCAGAGATGAATAAAGAAATGGCCCCGATTTTCCAAACAAAAAGTAAAGAGTTTTCCCGGGGGGCGTCGGGCGGACCGGCTCAGAGCCGAATCCCCCCAGAGGCGGAAAGGAGGAGGCTGAAGATTGCGTGCGCCCTGGCTCTCGCCAGGCTCAGGTGGTGGCGCGCACTGGCTGGTGCGGAGAGGGGGTGGGGAGCGAAGACGCTCGAACGTGGAAATCACGCCTCCTCTCAAGTAAGAGCCATTTAAAATATTCCCAACACTGCAGCTTCCGCGGGACCACAGAGTCCGGGTGTGCGTCTGGGGCACGTCCACTTGAACGGCGCCTGTGGAGAATCTTTCTTCCCGTTTTCATTTAGGGTCGCTCCAGAGTGGGTTGGACAGTTCTGCGGCGCGCCCCTCAATTTCCCCACCCCGTCCCCCAGTAATAAAAGTGCTGATAATGATGGTCAGTCGGTGGAGCCGCCGGTCACCAGGGCTCTGAAGCTCCCGGACTCCCGCCTCTCCGCACTGCCGCCGCCGTCGCCGCCTCCGCCTCCTCCTCCTCCTCCCCCCCTCCTCTGTCGTCACTGGCGGGTCTGGGGGACCTGGAGCGGCGGGGCTGGAGCGGGCGCCCCTATGGGCACAGAGTGTTTGTGAACAGCTGGTCAGGGAGTCGGTAGCGTTACTCCCCTTCTCTCCTCCACCCCGACCTCTCCTCCTCAAATGAGCGAGTGTGGGAGTGGGTGACACCTTATCTCAGACCTGGAGAGATACTGGTCTCCGAGAGTGCTGAGCCGCAGGGGGCGCGGGGGAACCCGGGGGGCGCCGACGGCTCGGCAAAGTTGGGCGTGTGCTTCTGCGCGCCAGCAGCGAGCTAGCAGGCATCCACTGTGGTTCCCCTCGCACTCTCCCTCCAGAGAATTCCCCGAGAAGGCGGGCGCCGGCTTCGGGCCCGGGATAGACCTGCGGCGGCGGCGGGAACGGCCACGCACAGGTACAATTTAGCGCGGTTCGTTGCGCGCTCCAAGCCCCGGGGTCCATCCATTGCAACGCAGACCGAGCGGAATCTCGGAGTCTGGGCCACTAAGGCGCTCTGTCCGGCCAGGGGGGTGGGGACCGGGGCGCGGCGAGGGGTCCCCAGGCTTTGAGCTCTGAGCGCTCGGCCTTCCCGTCCCACGCCTCCGGTCGCTCCTGCTTGGCCTCTTAGTGCCAAGGGTCAAGCGAGAGGCGGCTGTGACTGGAGGCGCGGTCCCTGGAGTGTGGCCCGCACTACTGAGCAAGGGCATGCATATTAATCAAAGCTGAAGGAAGACGGGATAGGGGGAGGAGGAGGAAGGGAGGGAAAGAGGAGAGGGAAGAGGGAGAGGGAAACCGGTGGGAGAACGCGACTAAGGGAGGTATTTCCCTAACGTTCCCATCCCAGATTCCCAGTGCCAAGCGGCCCTCCACTTCTCAAACTGAACTTGGGAACTTACACATTAGAAACAGGAAGTCGTGGGCCGGGAAATCCTCCTTTTTTGGTTCCTCGTCTCCTTTCCCCCACACCAGACCCTCCATCCTATATTCCCTCAGCAACACCTGCAACTGCTGCGCTGCTCACCCCGGGGGCGCAACCGCTCAGCTCTGCCTGCGCTCCCTAGGTCCTTCTACCCATCCGTACTGTGGTCCAGTTTCTCTGCTCACCCTCCCTATTCCCCACACCGCTGTTTCTAAAGGCACCCTCTGGTTCACCAGCAGCTTCCAGCGACATTGACATACCGCCCCTCTTCCCCGCTCAGAATTCCCATTCCTGGGAGGGACACATTGGGAGAGGCTAGAAATTCCCCTGCAACACTCCACTTGTGCCCTTCCCCCATCATCTTAATTTCTGCTCGCAGAGACGCCGCTGTTCTGCAGCGCTTTGCTGATTCACGATGATCGCGGAGGGAAAAGCCTCATTGACTTGTGCCCCTGCAAGCGGCAACGCTAGCGCGAGTGGCTGCGAGGGCACACGCTTTGGGAAACCACCCACCACTGCGCAGCCGAGGTGCTAAATGGCAGGGTAGATGCTTTGCGTGGCTCTTGGCCGGGGCAGACGCAAAGAAGGAAAGGGCCGGGGGAGGAAGGGGAACGCGGTGGCAGTGAAATTTCTGCGAGCCCAGTTCTTTGCGACTGAGCCGGAGGCAGCTGGTGGGTGGGCATCTCTCAGGAGGCCCAAAGTCGTCGGCTGTGCGGGGAGCAGAGATGTTTCGTGTGCCCTGATGCCAGCGCAGCGACAGAAGTAAGCCGACACGTCTGCTTGGGAGCCTTTAACGTTTCGGCGAAGCTTTTTTCATTCTGAAGTCTTTGTCCCTCCAAATGGTTCCCTCCTAACCTTGGTTCGCTATCGTCCCTAGAATTTTCTGCCTTTTTGGTGTAAGCCCTCACGCAGGCTGAAGAGCACGTGTGCCCTATCTCAGTGCCTGGGCTGAGTCTTAGAGAGGGGCAAACCCAGAGTGCTCTACTGGCCGGTGGGAGTGTCGTTCTCCCACAAGCAAAGGGCCTTTCCTTTGAGACCGAGGCTTTTGCTTCTAGTGTTCCCAAGCCTATCCCTAATTGTCCTCATGTATATTTGGGGGAACTTCCACCCTACCGACTTTAATTCAGAGACTCGGAATGGCCTGAGAAGGGGTCTCCCTGCCACTTTTTAATGCGGGAAATCCAGTTAGTATTGTCTAAATTGAGTTGGAGTGAAGGAGAACGAGAGAGCGAGAGCGAGAGAGGGAGCGAGCGCGCGCTCGCACGCGCAGAGGGCGTTGCCTCCTCCTGATTTGATTTTTTCTTCTCTTTTGATTCAGAAGTTCAGGGGAGCATTGACACCACCAAAGACTTGGGTTTGCATTTAGGACAGTGACTTTGGGTACAGAGCTTCCATAAATACATTCGTAAATCATTTCTTTTTCTGATTAAAAATTAATTCATATTAATTGTAGAAAATTTAGAAAATAAGAACAAGAAAAAGAAGGAAACAAAAAGACACCTGTGTCCCTGTACTTCCACCACCTTTCAAAGGTAACCTCTGTTGATAATTTATTGTACACACAGACAGTATAATTTAGAGGTAAAAACTATTGGTCTATAGCCACTAAGTAGAATCCTTGCTCTACTACTTACTTTGAGTAACTTAACCTCTGTATGCCACACTTTTCTCTTCTGGAAAGTGGGAATATTAATTGTACTTACTCCATATAATTGCTGTGAAGATTAAATAGGTTAAAAGATGTAAGGCACTTAAAACATTGCCTGGAATAACAACACCTAGTAAATGATATTTGTTACAATTCTAGTCTTCTCTGACTGAATTGTGTGTGTGAAAAGAAAAGTCAGTCCCTACCACACGAAGCTGGCCTGGTATAATCAGCTGGGACCTGGCGCTGCTAGGACCTGCCCTGGAACTCACAACTAAGTTTGGTGTTCTCCCATTGAGCAAAAACCATTCCCCAAAACACTAATGGCAGATAAGGTCATTCTGTAACTCTGATAAATTCGGACAAAACTAGGAGCACCCCATAATCATGTCTGAACCCAGACAAAACAGGAACCCTGTCCAAATGACAAAATGACCAAACATGTTCCTACCTTGGCTAATATGAGTGAATATTATGGTGTCTTAGAAAACAAATTACAACTTTAGACTTGGTCTAGTCTTCTCTCCCTCTAGATAAAGATTTAGTTAGACACCCAATCATAAAACTATGCCTGTTTCCCAACAGCATTTAAACCAGAGCAAGCCCCACCACGTTAAATCTTACTTAAAATTATTAACATGAGCCAAGTCCTGTGATAAGTCCTTCCTAACACCTTTTTGAGACACCCCTCAGTTCTCTGTGGTGCATGTTCTTCTTGTCTACAATGAAAAATAAACCTAGCTTGTTCAATTACTGCCATGTTCCTGGTGGTCTTTAGCAGGAGGGCTTTGGTAGTGCATATACAATGTTGATAAGCTTTCTTTTTCTGAAATTGAGGGGCATAATAAACGTTCTGTTTGGTAACCATTTTCTCCATTAGATAGATTATGAGCATTTTCTCATGTCAATTATTATTGCTGTAAAACATTTTAATGGCTGCATAGAATTCCACTATATGGCTTAACCTTAATTTATTTAACTTATCCCATATTGCTGGACATTTAGGTTTTTAAAATTTTTATTGTTATAAATATGACTGAGATGAACATCCTGTAGATAAATCTCTGACTACATCTTTATTTTCTTAGGGCCAAATATCCATCACTACATTTTAAGTGGACAGCTCCTAACAGATGCCTTTCTAATTATTGTTAAATTAGAAGGGACAAGGGCATTCCTTCATGGGGATTAAATTTCTTGGTCAAATAAATGAAATATTCCCATTTGGGGGGAATTTCTATCATCTGTTACATTTGGAATCAGTCTCTTGGCTCAGTATTACTCAGAGATGCTGGAGGGATTGAACATGGTGTAGAGGGAGTATGGTCCCAAAAGAAAGCTTATTTGGTTTGAAGAGGTTAGAAACAAGAGTCTTCTGTGGTCTAGCAAGTACATCAAGCATTAACTTTCAATAATCAAACCACCATTTTCTTCCTGAGAAACAAGACATTTTCATGCATATATCTTAACTCTAAACTGTTGTATGTCAACTGTGAAATCACTGTGCATAGTAGGATCATGCTAGAGGATATTTGGGTGGCTGCAATTTAGGGTGGTACTTAGTATAGTGTGTTTATCATCACTTCATGTTATCCTAATCTCAATAACCCTGATATATTTCTAAGTAGTAGGCGCTTATGCCACCCTAAAAAATGCCATCTAGGTAACATTTCTTGGAGAATGGAAACACATGCAGGGAAGGGAAAAGTATAACAAGGATTTTCCTTTCAGAATGGGGAAGATACCCTGGCAAACTTCAGTGTTTTAAGTGGCGATGCCTCAATGAACTATCTACTGGGACTCATCCCTGTTTTGATCAAAAAGCTGTTTTATGCAGAGCAACACTGTATTCACAGAAAGTTTACACAAAGGAAGACTTCTGAAGATAGCTTAAACTTGCAGTTGAAGAGAGAACACATGTGTGGAAAGTCCTAATAGGTTGCTTAAGATAAAGAGGCACACTGCTGTGTGTAGATGATCCCCTTTCAAAAGTGTGCTAATTGGGTATCTGAATCTTTCAGGATATTCTGCCAACTCAGTAGGCTCTCAATATCTTCATTAGTCTTTCAGAAAAATAATCATTCATGACATAAGGAAAAAAGTCATGCAAAATCATTTTCCTGAATAATCATGAGACTTAGGGTTAAGAAAGGGATATTTCATGCATCGATTCAGGGAGAAACATTTTGGAACATGCTATCTGGGTGTCTGGTTTCACCACGTCACCAGTTGGTTGAGGTGGCCAGGTCCAAATGTTTGCTTTGCTTTTTTTCCTCCTAAAAAGCAGAAAACATGGCTTTACCTTCTTTCCATCTTTCAAAATCCTTCCATCCTTCATGGCTCTCTTAAAATCCTAGCTCACATATCTAATAAGCTTTCTGACTGCCAAACCAACATTGATTAATTTAACTTGATTGAGCAAGTTTATTTGAATTATTTCAGTGAGCAAGTTTCTACTGTAGTCAACAACTAGGGAAAACTGAGCGAGGAATTCTCTGTTCTGAAGAAATTTTTAGTCTAATGGAGTTGACTAAATATACTGAGTATTAAAGTATGAACCGGAGTAAGGGAAACGTTCAGAGGAGAGGTTACAATGATGTAGGGGTGCAAAAAGGCATAGATGGTATTTGGTTGGTCTCTGGTCTTTGAATACCTTTAGCCTAGGGTTAGCATCTTGCTGTTTTTAGTTTCTTTGTTATCTAATGTTATAGATATCTACATGTTGATGATATGTAAATATGATATATCAGTTTTTGATAGACTTTTGATCACTGGACTGGGTTGTTAGAGGTCCCCATCTCTTTTCCCTAGGGATGGTCCTAAAGTTTTGAGCTTAGTCAAAGAAGAT